ATCTAAATAAACTTCAGTTGAATAAGAAGAGGAAGGAAAAGATGATGGTTGTAGAATCGATTGATGGCTTCAGAAGGGGCTTTTATAATACGTTGACATAAATAAATATGTGGACCAGAAATTCACAACAGTTTCAGAAAAACAACGTATTTCGAAACCTGAGCATCTCTAAAAAGTTGGAATTGAGAGGCAGAAAGCATGGAGACGGAATCACGTACATCATCCTACCGTGTAATCTCAGTGTAAATATTTAATTAATGATGACGATACACGTGAGAAGAAACATCAGACTATAAAAGGTGTGATTTGGAACTTAGTAAAAACTTTTTAAGCATTTTAAAACTTCAATCACGACGTATTTGCTTTAAATACTTGTTCAAGGTGGTTTAAAGTGAAAGAATTCCCATAAAAAAAACGTAGACTGTCACTAGAAGTGTTTAGACACTCAACAACAATTTTATTCTGAGATGCGCCATGCATTTGGCTTCCGGAAATGTACAGAAGTATTCAAATATGGTAATAGTAAAAATAATGCGTGCATATCCGGAATCTCCAGTGTCAGATATGCTGAGAACGGTTATCACAATAGTTTTCACCCTTTCACAGCTATCACAGGGGGAAGGTGTCCGAAGATAAAACTCCGAATTTATACGCAGCTGAGCCGATGACGTCTTTTACCCCTTGGGGTATTAGATTGCTTGGAGAGGTAAAAGCTAAAGCCTTTCTATAGACCACACACGCATTTAAAAACGATACTATGATTTGAAGTGCAGGGCCAAAACAATGAAACAAATTCTCATTTCATCGGGAAGTAGCTGAAGCACATCCATTTTTGAAACACTCTCAATTAACTATTCATGACTGTGACTGCTTACGGCTTAATTGTGAGAATTTTGCAAGTAAAGGGAAAGAGTAAGAGAGAGAGAGCTTGGCAAAAAAAGTGAAGGACAAGGCGATCTTCATTATTAGTTGTGGAACCCAGTCGAAAACCGTGACACCGTGGATGCTTCTGTTGAGCCGAAGATCAGGTCGTTTAAGAAAAGGTCAGCCGCTATGGTCTTGAAAAGGACTATCGACAGCTCCTTCTCTTGTGAATAGTCCATAACGGACAAGCTAAACGCGACTTAGAGCGTCAAGTGCCACTTTGGTAGACCTGAAGATGACATCGAACATACTGAGAGCTCCTAATCCACACGGGCAACATGGCGCTATTTGCACTCGCGTCCACTGTGTAGCCGGGTTCCTCGTTCGACGCGGAAGCTTATTGTTTTCTTGAACTCTTCATGAGGTTTGTAAATAAGCTTTATTAGCCTGACGTTCGGGCGGAATCGCCTTCTTCAGAGCCTGGATAGTTCACAATGATTTGAAGGCGATTCCGCCGAAACGTCAGCATAATAAAGCTTATTTCCAAACGTCGTAAAGAGTTTAAGAAAACGATAAACTCAGTAATAAAAACATGCCGAGGTTCACAGATAGGTGTACGTGGATGTCAAAGAAGCTTCAGAACAAATAGCATTTTCAAACCAGGGGAAAACGATTGAATGGATCGGTTCTGCGCAATTGCGACCATCAGAAACTGACGTCATGACTGTGATTCTTGAATGACGTCAAGCACGGAGTTCGCTAGCTTGGTTGGTATGAAATCTCTCCAGGAAATCGCAATAAAATGCGACTTTTGCAGGGAAGTGTCGTTGAAACACGTGTATTGAAGACTGAGCGGATTGCTTGGCTTTGCGGTCACGACATAGCCAAGGTTCAAGGTTCATGTCAAAAATGAAGATTTTTTCAGGAGTTTCAAATAGGTGCTGTCGAATGCGGAACGACTTCCGAGCAAAGGAGACTGTATGAGGAGTCACAGCGAAGGGTGGGCTAGTATGTAGGAGAGAGGGAGAGAGAGAGTAATAGGAAAGAGACCCTAGACAGGACCCAGTCCCCTGAAGCTCAGAACCCGAGGAAGAGGTAGTCATGTTCAAGGAGTGCGACTCGGAATTTTACCTTCATGCACTAAGGAATTCCCACTAAACCTCCACCGGTCCCGCACAGCCCCTGCTCACCTTTGAGAACTAGTTTAAGCCAAAGAGAATCAAGTAGTGATGATCTCATCCAATCATTCTTGGAGAGGAGATCTATGAAGCAAAAAAATTGTCGAAGGCTTCTTCTCTTTAGTCCTACATGAAAGTACCTTTGGAAATAATGAAGGATAATTTCGTAAGGAAGGAAAGACCGCCTGAGCGGCATAGCGGATTTTTCGGGATCTCAATGTCAATGTTCAAACGGTTTCTGTCTAAATAAGTGACGAACTGAAAGAATGGTAGCATAATGAAAAAAGGTCAATCTTTTGCAGAGGAGCAATTGGGAGGTATGGTGCCGCTTTCAATAAAATTTAATATAAAAATGATAGGCAGTTTCGAATCAAGGAAGGTGTCATGGTGAATCACTGCAGAGACGTAAAATTACCACCCATGAAATTCGATTATGAGCAACTGTTCGGTGGTTTATGTGGTGAAGAACCCTTTGAACCCGAATTTACCGTGGAAACAGGGTGGTTTCAAAAAAGTGGGGA